CCCGCGAGCAGCACCCGAGCAGCACTCACCCTGGCATTGTAAGCATCCAGCTGTGCATCTAGTTCCTCTGCGGAGAGCTGCTGTTTGGAAGTTCTCCCGGCTCCTCTGCCTCTCCCCCTGTTCCCGCCACGAGTACCTCGCCTGTTGCCTCCTCCACCACCAAATCCTGAGCCACCGCGGTTTCTGGTCATGCCACCTCTGTTTACACTGCGATTTTTAAAAAGCAACTGGTTTAGTGCGTTCCAGCTAACCGGAACAGGCATGCAGAAGTCTGCCAAATGGGAGACGGATCCACGCAGCCGACACAGAGAGGGGCAGCCACGTTCCCACCCTGCACGGCATCTCACCTCTGTGCTGGTCTCCTCTGTGTGTCGATTTGTGACGTGACCAGCTGGATGTTCATGGGGCGCCCTGGAGGGAGAGCAGCCCGTGAGCCCACCCGCGGGACATGGCGCCGGCTGCCCGGCCAGGCAGCGCGCTCACAGGCAGACTCACCATCCAAGGGGACGCCGTTGTACTGCTTCATCGCTTTCAGAGCGTCTGCCTTCCTCTCGAAATGCACGTCTGCCGTCCCTAGGCTGCGGCCAGATCTGTCATAGTGCACAGCTGCCTTCTTCAAGGTCCCAAACTCTGCAAAGAGCTCCTGAGAAAGAGAGCGAGAAGAGCATACGCGTCCATCAGCGCCGCAAACACCGCACAGCCAAAAGACGGCGCTGGCAGTCCCCTATACAGCCGCTTCCCAAAACGCCATTGACCACTCAGGAAAAGCGCTGAAGGTAGAGGGGAGCGCAAGCCCATCAGAAGGATTTCAGATCTGCCACAGAAAGGTCGCAAAAGCAAGGATTTCACATGCACTGCTCGCAGGGCGCACGTTCACAGCCAGCGAAGCAGATGCAAGGGAAACCGCGAGTCTTTTTGCTGAGCTGAGTCAACGGGGCGACTAATTATAAAGAATCCAGACCCTAATCCCGTTCACAGAGGAAAAATGATCTGTATGAACGCAGGGATTCGCAAGATGATCACAGTTTCATTGTACTGGACTTTTTTTTTTGTCTGCAAATCTTCACTAGATCAGGTGCAATTTAAAAAACCCAGCCCGTTAGGAAAATACCCCAAAAGCCAAGATTAGCA